CATCACACACACACACACACACATGCCTACACACACACACACACACACACACACACACACACACACACAAATCATAATCCTGCTCATTCACAGTGATGCATTGTGAAGCAGCACGAGTCGTCCCACTCACAAATCCCAAGTTGGTGAATGCAGGTTTAATATTGCTGTATTTTTTTTTAATGTTACTGTAGGAGTAGTTATCATTTGCATACTTGAAAAAGACTTGCAACAACTGTATAAAACTCAAGCACTGAGGAGAGGTTCCAGTTAATGAAACCTCTAGATCTCTCCCTGCTCTTCCCAAGAAACTATCTGTTTATATTTGGGCCAGTTAACCTGTCAGCTGAATAGAGCAGGGCGGTATGACCAAAAATATTTATCATGATATACATTTGAAAATTTGCGATAACGATATAACTCACAATATAATTGACACTAGTTAAAATACTTTACAACTCCACAACTTGCAAGAAAAACCCAAAAACATCAATGTATTTTCACTTAAACAAGCAGCTGTTTTTTATGTGCATTAAAGTTATATAAAATTTAGCAAAGTCGTACTAAAACATTTGACAGATTTTCGAGCGCCGTGTGCCACATAAAATCATTTCGAGGTCAGTAAACACAACCAGAATTCATACATAAGGCACACGGGATTATAAGGTGCGCTGTCGATTTTCAGAAAAATGCCATATTTTCCAAAAACACGGTAATAACGACAGCCCGCTAGCATGCTCTACCAAAAATAGTGCTTTGTTGTGTATCTGAGGGACGAAAGCTAAACCAGTTCCACACCACTGAAGTTGCAGCATTTTTACAAACCAATTCTGGTTCATCCGTTTCATTCAACGATCCGCTTTCGCCCTTCTCATTCTCAGTCACCGCCATGATTTTTCCGCCATCTGCGTATGAAAACAAAGGCACTGCACATGCGCGTTTTACTCATATTCTATCGCGATATTTCATTTTCATATCGTTGCCCAACATTATACTGGTATTACCGTGAACGGTATGATATGGCCCAGCCCTACAGCTGAATTAATTATAATGACAATTAAATGAGCTTAAGTGTCTTTACTTATTAGAAAATAATAGTAGCATCCTTCCAGATAATTGTTTGCTTCACCATATATGAGTACTGGTAATTTCTGAAAATAAAATAGGCAGAAAAGGCACATTAATTCTCTAAAGCAGCACTTTACTGTGGCATAAGTATAGCAAGCTGAAATACATACAGATTGGAAGCACAAAAATGCACTCAATATGAAGGTTGAAAAAGTGACAACAAATCAAGATAAGCCTTTATACACACAAGTTTGCAAAGTCTAATGTGGTTGTCGGTCTCCTCCTGAGGTTTGAGTTTTATGAATATGATGGAAATACTAAAAAGAATAACACAGTCAAAAGAGGTGCAATAGCAACCAAATGAACAAGGACCGAACACAGGGCGCGTCACGTTGTGTTACATCACTTCACACATCACTTTCGTTGAGGTGCCTTAGCTGAGCTGAGTTTCTGCAGCCCGAGAAAGAAACATCCTAAAAAATCTTTTTTTTTCTGCAGGGAATGAACAGTGAAGTGCAAAAAAACATCAAGGCCCTTCCACAAAGGCTTGTTCAGAAAACAATGAGTGTCGTGTCTAAAGTAGCACATTTATATAGAATGTGTGGAGCTGGCTGAGCACCGTATATTGAGATAAAGACAGGTGATCGTATTATCTTACACTCACTGACTATTAACCACTGTTGTGTCTCTAATCAGGCCACAGCTCAGATGGAAGAGAGGTTGGCAGACTTCATCCAGAACTACTCCCCAGAGAGTGTTCTGCCACTGGCTGACGGGGTTCTCAGCTTCATCCACCACCAGATAACCGAGCTAGCCAGAGACTGCCTGACCAAATCACGCGAGGGCGTCATTACCAGCGTTTACTTCTGTGAACTGCAGGAGAATCTGGAGAAGATGCTGCACGACGTGAGTTGTGTAGCAGGAATCTGATGTGATGTGCTTCCAAACCTCGCTAACTGACCCTGTCTCTCCAAATTTCTGTCTTTCTTCATCAGGTCTACAAGCGCTCGGAGAGCTCGGAGCTCACCTTCGTCATCGAGCTTGTCAAAAAGCTCTTCATCATCATATCTCGTCCTGCCAGGCTGCTGGAGTGCTTGGTGAGTTCCGCCCTGCTTATCTGATTGTGGCTAAACTTTCAAACACATCGAGAATCCAGATTTTCTTTGTTTCTGGAGGCATTTTCTACCCCATTGAGCTGCTCGAAGATACTCCCGTCCTCCCACATGGAAACGGAGGGTCGAATATGCTGAACTGGCACTACAGAATCTAAAAGTAGGGCAGAGTGTCGACTGTTCGTTCATTCTGAACAGATGAAACATAAGTGTGTCACTGCAGGAAGCTATGCTGCCACTCCAGTCAGGAAAGGTTCAAGTTTTGTTTAATCTTTTATGTTGCATCTGTTTTACCAGTATGTTATTAACAGAGAAAGACAAGACAGGATGTCTTCTTTATGTGTTTCACTTTTGCAACATCCATCTACACCAGTGTTGCTGGTGTAGAGACACCAGCAACACTGGTGTCTCTACACAGCATTAGGAGGCCAACATTTTGGCTACTAAGCCAGAGAAGATGTGTGTGGTAAGTTATTGCCAAATAGCAACAGACCTCAGACCATCCCCTGGGGTATCCCCTCTGTCTCAGATTTTAGAGAATTCAGAAGTAATTTGAGCCTTTAAATTCCCTGCATTTCCTGTGTTGAATCTTGCATATTTGAATCTCTAACCAACTCTGCTTGATTTGTTTTTATTCTGTCATAACTTCAGCGCACACATAACACATTTATCACCAGTTGGTAATGAGATACAGGCCCAATCCAGTGGAACATGGAGATGAAATAAGCAAGATTATAAAAGACAAGAAAGGCAATGCACAACACCTCTTAATCTTTGAATTCAGGTAGTTCAACCCCTATTGCCACAGGTGTATAAAATCAAGCCTTCAGGAACAACAGCCACTCTGCCATGAAATGTCTGACTACATAAAGTTAAAGTCCTGAGGTTCATAGTGTGAAAAGTCACAAATGCTCTTCTGCTTAAATAACTGCAGAGGTCCAAACCTTGTCTGTCATTAACATCAGCATAAAATACTGTGTATCAGGAGCTTCATTTGCCATAAAACTGCCAAATCAAACATACGCAGCTACAAGCTGTGGTGACCCTTGTGATAAGGGAGCAGTCAAAGGTAGCTAGCTAACACGTTTTTAAAAGAAATACTGACATTGACCATCAGAGTACAAATAACTTCATCACGATGTGATTTAGTAGCATGTCATATTTTTTCCCCTGTTAATTACATGTAAAAATTTGAAATTTTAGACATACCAGTTGCCAGATTGCCATGAATTTGTGATATTTTTTAAACCAAGCCAGAAGATGTATCATTATTTGTTTCACACCTGTCTTCTCTTGACATGCCTTTGCTTGCATTTGGAAGTAGCTGCTACAATCCATTCTCTTGCTTCCCGTAAACGTTGCTTTACCTACAGCATTCTTAACACATGGGAGTGTATGAATGTTGAAACACACTGCATTATACATGGAGGTCATGGTTTTGTTCAAGCTGTGTCATTCAGCACATCAGTCATCCTCTGTTGCTACAAATTGCATGATTGTTGCTTTAGGATATTTTTCACTCTCGTTCTTCCCACCTCCTCAACTTGACCGTTTTCACAACAGAACATCAAATCCAGTCCAAGACGGAGCTGTGTCCTTGACATGCTGATTCATTAATTCAACAAAACTTATTTAGTAATAACAAGCCTCTCTGCATCCACAGGACACACCTGAATATCAGCTCCCTGATTGATGGTGCGGTCCCTCCTCCCAACCCCTCCCGGCTCATCTTTCTGTTGCCAAGGCGACCGTCAGAAAAGGTCGATAGGGTCAGGCAGGATGTGGAGGGGACTTTAGATCTTCACGGCCCGTGGGTTAGAGAGGAGAAGGCACACACAGATGAAATGTTGTCCATGTCCGTAGAGTTCATTTAGCATTCAAGTCAGTCACAAGGTCTGATTTGGTGAAAATGTCACACAGTCAGAAGGCTGTTAGCTGCAAGAATATTATCCTCCAGCAGCGCAAACTATCAGAGAGCCAGGTTAATTCCCCATCTCCGTACTCCTTTTTTTTTTTTCTCTAGTCGAAGGGAGCAGATATGAGAGAGAGCATGGAAAGAAATGATCCTGGCTGCCCCAGGCTTTCTAATCAAAACGTTACTCCACCAACAGCAATGAGACCGAATCCCATAAGACACCACAAAAGGCTGTATCATAGGAAAAAATGAACATTTTCAGAGAAAGCAATTTAAAGTTTGGAAGTGTATTAACACTGATTGTGTTTGTTTGACAGCCCTGTAACAGTGTTCGGTCATGAATTTGCTGCAGGTTGAACTAAAATCTAGTTTTATGATTATAAGTTGGATGTACTCTTAGAATTACTTACTGTTTATGTCACATGGCACAACATAACATCGTTTTCTTTATGCTCGACTAGTGTTAGCTGTTATCACATCCTTTTGTGACTCCACACTAGAGCGTTGTGGTTCAGTAGCCGGCTGTTGAACTGGAAAAACGTAATCTGACACTCACTTTGTTATTGTGTTTTATCAACACACTACAGTTTGGATATTTTAAAGTATATAAATAAGGATATTGGTTCGTGATTTTAATTGAAATAGAAACTATAGAAGTAGAAATAATACGAGGTAATAATTTAACTTATAGCTTTCACAGTGTAAATATTTGTTGGGTTTATCAGTTGAATCTGAATTAAATGTAGATTTTTGAGTGTTTAGTCTGGTGATTCTCAAAATTATGTGACCTTTCATGAAATATATAATCACTGGCCAGTTTTTAAGGTACACCTTGCTAGTGCCACATTGGGTGTCCTTTTGCCTTCAGGACTGCTTTAATTTTTCACATCACAGATTCAACAAATTGCTGGAAATATTTCACAGATTTTGATGATTGCAAACATAATTCAAATTTTTCCACATGTTCAGAGAGGCTGTGCTGATTTCATTTGTCTTGTGTTGCACACGTCACCACTTCAGCAGTGGTCTTTGTATGTGAGATCATGTTAATTTAAGATGCATGTACAGTACGAGTGTTTTGTAGCTTTTCTTGACCCCTCCTTGTTTGTTGTTGGAATTATAGGAGTTCAACCCAGAAGAGTTTTATCACTTACTCGAAGCAGCAGAGGACCACGCCAAGGAGGGACAACTGATGAAGGCAGACATCCCTCGATATATTATCAGTCAGTTGGGACTGACCAGGGATCCACTGGAGGGTAAGAAATGGGAATAATAGGTTTCAGGTTTTATTCCAGAGGTGTATATATAATAGAAAATATGAAAACAAATGGAAGTGTAAAGTTTTTAATTTGCAAGAATGCTTTCCAACAGATGTTTGCTGGTTTCAGTTGTTTACTTTCACTCCCAGAGCTGGATAAGTAGATCAATACCACTTGTGTCTGAGTCCGGATTTGATTAACCTACTTCTCTATAAAAGCCGAATGCTGCTGGAAAGAGCTAGCCTGGTACTGTTCAAGGGGGGAAACGGAGCCACCAATACAACTGACTGTACAGATTAGCATGCTATGCCTGTTAATTTAGCAAGTTAGCGTAAATAATGTAAGATTTTGGTGGGAGTTTTGTGCTATAACTCTCCAGTTCAGTGACTTCACATAATCTTAGTATTAAACTGATACAGTAGGAAATAGTGACACACTTTAACAGCTTGATGTTTTTGCTTTAGTATGTTAGCAAGATTTGGCAGCAGTAGTCGTTGCAAAAGTGCATTTCATTTAGCTAACGTGGCTTCTCACTTGTGTCTTTTCCTCTCATCCTATCTGCAAGCATGTGAGAGAAATCCACAGAAAAAATGTTTCATCTCTATTTTGGGTGGTGGCAGTATGAAGCTTTAAAAAGTGCCACTTTGAGATATTGATCAGCTTTTCTTTACGTCCATGATGAGGATATATTGAGATGAAGAGTCTGAGCTGCTTGGATCATTTGCTGTCTGGTGGTGCGGCTGCAGTTCTCTTTTTCATTCATCATCATGGCTCGAAATCAGCCCCCAAACTCACAGTTCACTATTCCCATCTGTTCAGCCACTCCCAGTCTAATCCATCAAGAGCTCGCATTAGCTGATGGGTTAAATGGCTCAGAATGACTCTTCACAATAAGCCACGGTGCTTTTATTTCAGAATTCATGAGAGATGTATCTGGTTATGTCTTTGTGAGCTAATCTCTTCTAACAATGTGCCTGCTGATATCTTGATCTTGCACTTTCTTTAGCACCTACATTGTCATGCATAGGCACACATGCGCACCCACATAGCTGCTTACACTTTCGCACTCACATTTCTTTTCTTGGTTTCTCACACAGAAACAGTGTCAAACAGACACTGACAGAATATACAGTTTCCAGCTCAGTGACTTTTATCTTATATAAAGTTTAGAACTACAAAGGGGCTTTCAAAAGGTAATTATCATTCAATTATTTCAACAAAACAGTTGTGTAATCAGTGTATTCAAGCAGCTGTCACATACAAAACATGCAAGAACACTGGAAATTAGCTGCCACTCCTCTGCCACTGTTCATGAGGGGAGTAAGAACAAAGTGAAGAGGAGGGAAATCTGAAAGAGAGAAGAAAAATTAATAGAAAGAAGCTGTTTTAATTCTCATATTTTACTTTGTGGGATTTGGTCTGTAGCGGTTGAGAGCTGCAGTTTTTCTAACTGCTCACAGCGGTGTGGGGGGCCTAGTGTCGCTTTTTATTGTCACTTCAGGTTTGTCTGTTAACTAACACGTGTCCCAACAGAAATCGTGGGCTTTGACAGCTACGACAGTGAGGGTCCGCACACTCCAGAGACCGATGACTCAGCAGAGGTGACGAGGAAACACGCATGCACAGACACAGGAAACAAATTACCTGTTTTGTTTTGTTTTTAACTTTGAATTATAATTGTAAAACTCTGGGGATTTCATCAGGGAAAAGGGAGAGCCATCAAGCCACCAACTGAGGAAGACTTTCAGACCATAAAACTGATCAGCAATGGAGCCTATGGGTGAGTAATTGATTAATACGTCACTGATCACACATAGAAACCTAATCGTATCCAATTTTTTCCTTGAGCTTTAAAACTAATCCAGTGGTTAAACTTGGTAAAGCTCATGAATCTAAAAACATTTATATTCGAGCTACAATACAGATTTAATGTCTGTCTTTATGTCACACAAAGGGCAACAGCATGAAGAATTTGGATTATGAAAACATCCAAGAAAGCTATTTATGAAGAGATTTCTAACAAGCTCTAACACAAACGGCAGAAAGATTGTCAGACTGAACAGCAAAGATCTAGAACTGGACTTGAATGTGTATAAAAAATATTTGTTCAGTCTAAATTGGAACTGGTCAAATCCATCGGGAGCAGTGCAACAAATATTTGAAACAATCTCTCAAAAGTGGATGCTGGTGCTGAGTTTACACGTTTGTCCCTCTGGAGCCATTAATTTGAAAAATTCATTAGCCAGTTCAGTTTTCAAAAATTTTCCACTCTGGTAACTTCCTGTTTTAAGACCGGATGTACATTTCCGGTAGCTTTATTTTGCGGTCAATCGCTACTGTGAAGATGGACTCCAAAATCATGGCCAAAATATGAAAACAGAAAGATTGCGTTAAGTTACAAAGAGCAGAAGGTGGGAACACTCACCATTGCTGTGTCATAAAAAAAAATCGAATTATCAGTTTTGACGTTTGAAGAGTGGAGATCGATTGGTTGTTTACATCACTCAACACAAGCAGAACTGCATTTCAAAATGAGAAGACACATCGTCCACATTCAGAAGCACGTCTCTGTATAGTGACAGTTCTAATGATTTACAGGCAAATGTTCAGCATTCAAATTACAGGCGAACATTAGTCAAAGCCAGATGTCTCCCCCGTTATGTCGACATCAGCGTGCACAGTCAAGTACACACCTACGCAGCACGTCAACAGATCGTGGAAAAAAAGTAACCGGATCTAAAAAATGAATGAATGATTGCTGGTAAGGGTCTCGATATATCAGTACTTACGAAGGGTATGTTGTGACTTACCTTCAAAAGCCTACAAATACTGAGAAATATCAAATTTGAATCCTTTCTCTCCTTTGCTCTGGGGCGCGGGGGGAAAATATCGACAAGTCGATGAACATCATCTACAGATTTATTCGGTAAATGCCCAAGACGTCTGGTGGACCCGAAAGGTCAAATGCACAACTTAAGAAAATACAACAAAGAAAAAACCCGCAAAAGCACACAAAATAAAATAGAACATGATTAAAACACAACAGAACTAGAAAAATACAACTGAAGTATTTTTAGGGAGATAATAATGTGACGGACCAGCTGCGGATGTAACAAGCTAACACTACACGGCTAATAGCAAGCGTATCTACAGTGTTATATGAATCATGCGATTAAAACACACGTTATCTTGCATCTTTTTCTTCTTCTTCTCACAAAACTGATGAAGACTTTTAAGCGTGTCTCGGTGCAGTCCATATTTTAGTTTTTGTAACCGCTGCAGTTGGTCCTTCAGATAAATGCCTCATTTCTGTTGTGTTTTGCGTGCTTATACAGCGTTTTTTCTATGCAGTCTTTTTCAAGTTGGAGTGTATTTTGAGCTTTCAGGGCCACCGTACCTTTGACTATAAATAACTGAAATTTATAACTTCAAAGCTTCTCAAGAACGCATTTGTCTTAAGTAAAGCCGAGCAATTCACATTTGCTACATGTTACTTCAGTAGTCCGATGACAACTGCATAGTGCTGTGCAGGTGGAGGCACTGCCTTTTCACCCACGTGATAGCGCTATGACACATACAACTCGGTTAGGACATTTAACATTCATCCGGTGACATTTTTTTCCTGTGCAATTTAATGAACTTCATGTATTTGATGCATGAAGTCTCCTTTATCCTTGGCTCAGCTCTCTCATGCTGGCACATCCGTCATCTTTTTTTTTTTGCCTATTTTTTTTTAGCAGGCTACCACAGAGAGACAGATAACCATTTACTGTCATGCCAACAGCCACTTCAGAATCACCAGCTAACCTAACCTTTTGCTTTCAAGGTACTCAAAGCACTTGTTACACTGCAAGCTGCATCCACAGACACTATTTTGTTCATGGACACATGAACAAAAATGTATGTGGGGTTCAGTTTCCTCCCAAATCCCTGACAGCAAGTTTTTAAAAAAACAAAAATGTTTCAGATTTCTACAAGTTGACATCTAAATGGTTGAATATGCATGATTTAACGATAAGATCACTCAGAAAGCAAGACTAGTTTACTGTAGAAATTACATGTTCTTGCCTTTGTCAACAGCCATAGTGAAAGTGGCCAAGATCTTGTGTTTTCAAATTGCTAGTTTGCTTTATCAAACAAGTGATCATAAAACAGTTTATGTACCAGTTTTGGTACTTGTGTCCGCCTGTAAACGATTTCCCTATAATGTAATCTGCTGATATGTTGTTACTGCTGCAAAGCTGATAATGGTTTCTGTTCCCAAAAAAAACAAAATCATAATGCCCTGGGTTCATAAATTGAAGGTTGGTAATCATTAGATTTTCTATTAGCATAATGATCCCAATCATGCATCCAAATGAATCAACATTTAATAGAAAATGTTACTGGGACACGGTAGCAGTCACTGAAGTCCTCAGGATCCTGGGATGTAAAGAAGACAGTGGCACTGTGAATACTAATATAAATACTAATGATAATACCGGAAATGTGAGCAGGAGCCAAAAATACCAACTAAAAGATGATGAAGCTTGGGAAAAACCCCTGAAAACTTGAGTTAGATCACAAAACAACAAAGGTACTTCTATTAGTATTACCAAAAATAGAATTTGGTGGTTGTAAATTTTTGTTTAGATAAAAATTATTAGCAAGGTTTTATGTATTTTTAGTGTAAAAATATTTTATATTGTCTTGTAATGCCATGAGGGTTGAAATATAATTGGCACTGCACAGAAAAAAAAGAAAAAAGAAATAATAAATACAGACACTAAAAGCAGCGCTTAATCCTTCATTCTGTCACAGAGAATAATTAAAACGCACAGAGAGATTCAGATGGGATGTATTTTAAAATGCACATTTGACATGTTTTCAGGAATCGGGATTGTCGGGGGTTCAATGATTTGAAAGGAAATAAAATAATAATACATTTAAAATGCACTTCACAGCAAAGAGACGGCCAGTGGGGATGTAAACACACGAGTAACATATGGTCTTCTCTCCACCTTGACCGGGTCACATGCTGCTGCATGTTAAAGGCTGTCACAAGCTGAGTAAGGTGGATCAGCGAAGAAAGAGTTGTACTTGGCAGGCCAGCATTATTCTACCATTATCTACCCACGAGAGAAAATGGGTTATTTTTCAGGTGTAGTTCAAAAACTCGGTTCAGGATCAAACATAAAATGAAGATTACGAGCTGGGGGGTTGACATTTTGTGCTGGAGGTTTTCAAGTCTTAATATCCTCCTTGATGTGTCCACACAGTCACACTTTATTGAGCTCGTGTCTGAAAGGAGATGAAATATCCTCTGCAGTTTGTACCACCTGCTGTTTTCCTCAATACCTCATTTCTTCTTCTTCTGTTCTCTTCTGTCTCCCCTGCGTTGCAGCGCCGTCTACCTGGTGCGACACAGGGAGACACGTCAGCGTTTCGCCATGAAGAAGATCAACAAGCAGAATCTGATCCTGAGGAACCAGATCCAGCAGGCGTTTGTGGAGAGGGACATACTCACATTTGCGGAGAACCCCTTCGTCGTCTCCATGTTCTGCTCCTTCGAAACGCGACGACACCTCTGCATGGTCATGGAGTACGTTGAAGGTAAGGGGGTCGGCGGTGGTTTTTCACTAGATCTGAGTTCAAATTGATAAGATTGCATGAAGCTACTCTAAACACGTGCCTTGATTTCTTTTTTGTTGTGTGTTGGTCAAGTTTGTGCCTTGTGTGTAAAGTAACACATTTCCTCCCTGACTCTTTTACATCTGTGAAATAACCTCCAGCACATCAGGATACGCTTTTCACGCCACCTTTCCTTTGGATGCTGTAGCCATGGCCTTTTCTGTTTTATCTACATTTTTTTATTTTAATTTTCATTCAATTCCTGGACTTATTTTTTAAAATTGTGAATAAAAATTGCCACCTGAGCCTCTGGCTTCTAAACCGAAGGTCAAGCATTCAGGAAACGTGCAGTGAAGTATAATGTCTCAGTTACAAAAAAGGGCAGGGGAGTTTTACTGGCTCACGGCTAAAGCTCGACTCAGTTTTCCTTCTATTTGTGCTGAATTCTATTATTTTGTCAAGATCGCTGTTGATTCACAGACACACTGAGCTGTCAACGGTAGGTACGAATTTATGACTCATGTATGATGGCAGTGCCAAATATGGATGGCACAAAAATTAATTAAAAACCCAAAAAATAGAAACATAAAAAGCAAATCGTTTTACTAATTCAGAAAAGACTTCTAATGTTCTGGTGATAAAAACAATGAGTCACATTTAATGAATTTGTTCTCCCTAATCAGAGCATCAGAATATGTCTTTCTGGGGTTTGGCACCATTTGTTTGAAAGTTTTAACACGTCGAGCATAGATTTATGTTATAACTACAAAATCACATTAACAGTAACGTGTGTTGTTTATGTGATTGCAGGTGGGGACTGTGCCACTTTGCTGAAGAACATCGGGGCTCTGCCTGTTGAGCTTGCGAGGATGTACTTTGCTGAAACTGTATTAGCCCTGGAGTATCTGCACAACTATGGGATCGTCCACAGAGACCTCAAACCCGACAAGTGAGTGTTTAAAATTTATATTATCAATCAATATAATCACTTGTTTAATTACACCTGTTCAAATATATTATTAACCAATCATATGGCAGCAACCCAGTGCATTTTGGGTTGTAGACATAGTCAAGACTGATGGCCTGCACAGGGTGTACCTAGCCTTTTACCCTATGACAGCTCGAGCCCCGTGTGATCCTAAATCATAAAAGTGGATGGAGAGATGACTGAATGGATGATAATAATAGTAATAAAAAAGAATAATAATAATAGACATGGACCGAAGCCTAAGATAATGCAAAAGCAAAACATCCAAATTTTTCTTTAACAAACAACCCTTGATAAAACTTTAAAAGTCAAAAGCCTGGATCGCTGATCGGGTGCATTCATTAATCGAATTGGCAGCTTACACGTCTGGAAAGGCACCATCAGTGCTGAAAGGTATACACAGATGTTAGAGCGGCACAACCTCCCATCCAAAGGTCTTTTTCTGGAACAGCCTTGTATATTTCAACAAGACAATCAAAACTGCAAACTGCATCGAGTGCAACAGCCTATTAAACAAGTCCAGCTGCTGAACTGGTCGGTGTCCAGTGTCCTCTGTCCTTTCACTAACTGGAAACTTAAAAATAATAATGAAACCAAAAATACAACAAAGAAGACCCCAGACTGAATCCTATATGGGAACAGGAGATTTTCCTCTCCCAGAAGTTCAACAACGGATCTCCTCAGTTTCCCGACACGGCTGTGGCCATGGTATTTGTAATGCCTTATGTAATTTGTGTAATACACTGGGGTATTTATAATCAGAGGTATTTATATCTATTAGAACTATTTTGTCATGTTTTGTATCTTTGTAATATATTGTATCATTTAATTTACTTTAATTGGTTCGGTACTTACTGTGTCGGAGCTTCTCTGACTGCATATTTTCACATAATCAGAGCTTAATAAAGTATTCTGATCATGGCCCAGTCCCAACTTTTTTTTTTCAACATGTTTAATGTATTTAATTTCCTCAGTTTAAGTATTTGATGTGTTTAATGTTTTCTATTGCAGATAAAATATGGGTTTACAAGATTTGCAAATCGCTGCATTCTGTTTTATTCAGATTTTACACAGCTCCTCAATTGCTGAGGGATTGGTTTGGATTGCTTTATGGCTTATAGGTGTATAAAAACTTCTGTTTTTGGTTTTGTTTGGGGGGGCTTTTCATGTCATTTGCCAGAATGAATGCCTGTTTTCTCTCTCCTTGTAGTCTCCTGATTACCTCCATGGGCCACATTAAGCTGACTGACTTTGGCTTGTCGAAGATGGGCCTAATGAGCCTCACCACCAACCTGTATGAGGGACACATTGAGAAAGATGCCAGGGAGTTTCTGGACAAGCAGGTACGGTACCCACGACCTCACACCGGTCACATTAAACATGTTAAAATACGAAGTACATCATTTCAATGCAACATGGTAATAATTCATTTCACTTTTTAATTAGTAACTTTATGAATGAGGTGCATGTCCACTTAGAGGCTAATTAGCTGAATCCCATTTTAAAAAATCCTTTTTTCAACCACGCATACAAACCTGCCAAGTCATCTGGCAAAATCAATATTATCCGAACAAAGATGCTGCATTATAATGCTTCCTGTTTAGTCTGAATAAGTGAATCATTAATGCCCTCCATCTCCATAACAATCCTGTTTTGCAATTACAGTAATTGTTTATACTCTGAATTAAACCAGTCATGAGCAGTCAGATTGGGCCGCGTGTCCTTTTCATCTTCTCAGTGGAAGCAAGCATCTGTGTTTCTGCCAGTAATCAGCTCACATCTGCAGAAACAGACTGCAGCTTTGTGGTGGAGATTATGGCGGAGAGAGAATTTCTCAGTCAGTCAGAACTTTTACTATTGGGCTGTCCTGATGTGTCTGATATAATTTGTCCACAACTCTTGTTTTGGATAGTTCCCACTAGGTGTCACTCAGTGTTGATGTACTGTTTGTTTATCCAGAACACTTCCATTACATCCAGTCAGGGGCGTAATTTCCAGGGGGGTTAGGGGGGTTATGACCCCCCCAATAAAATTATTAATTATCTTGCATAGATAGGCTGTTGACTTTCTTTACTAATTTCAGTTATTACCAGCAAAATAGTTGCATGTTTAATCATCTAGGAATTTATCCAGATTTATTTATTTATTTAGACAGAGATCTTGACCCCCCCAATGTTCAGCACAAAGTTACGCCGATGTCCACAGTAGCAGCTTATTTTTATTAAGGATGATTAACTTGTCTTTCTTCCTCTTTCTCTCCTTTTCTCATTTTCCTTTTTCTTCCATTCCTCCAAACTGTCTCAATCATTGCTCACAGGTTTGCGGTACTCCAGAGTACATCGCTCCAGAAGTGATTCTCCGCCAAGGCTACGGGAAGCCGGTGGATTGGTGGGCCATGGGGATCATCCTCTATGAGTTCTTAGTGGGTTGTGTGCCTTTCTTTGGAGACACTCCTGAGGAGCTGTTTGGACAGGTCATCACAGGTGAGGAAACTGTGATAAACCTATGTTGCTACTATGTTTTAAATGCCTTTTCAAACTGCAAAGATTATAAGTGGTTAATGATAAGTGTACTAAGACTTAAAGCCTTCTGTAAAGGTTAGAAACCAAAGATTTAAAATTCTGTTCCAGAAACTAAGTATGTTTTTTTTTCTTTATTATTATTCTGACCTTTTTCTCTCTGTTTCTTGTGCCTCTGGTAGATGACATAGTTTGGCCAGATGGTGATGAGGCCCTGCCTGCAGATGCCCAATCCCTCATCTCTGCCCTGTTACAGACCAACCCTCTGGTCAGGCTCGGTACAGGTACTGGTTTGCTCTTTCACTTGATATCTGGTTTGACATGTGCAGCTATTTGCAACAAGAATAAGAATGCAAAGTAACATTAAAAGGAACAGGTGTAATATAAAACAAAAGTATTTTGGGTCTTGTTTCTTTTTGTGCCCACAGAATATGAAGCTAAAGCTAGCCACTGGCTAGCTTAGCTGAAAGACAGATAAAGCCACCTAAAACAAGCTGTGGCTTTAAGAGAGCATAATAATCCTTCACCTCTTGACACAGACAGGAAAGCTGTTTCTCCCCTGTCCATCTATAACTTTCTGGCACAAGCGTTTATATAATGCATTAAAAAGTATCATAAAAAATCTTATCATATCCACTTGGCATTCTGCAATATATTTTACATTTGTTCTTGAAAGACTATTCATCTCATTCATCTTTATTTTTGGATGAGGGTAACAATTAATGTTGTTTGCACCCCCACCACCAGGGGGCGCATTTGAGGTAAAGCAGCACTCCTTCTTCAGTGAGCTGGACTGGAACAGTTTGCTGAGACAGAAGGCAGAGTTCATCCCTCACCTGGAGTCAGAGGAGGACACAAGCTACTTTGATAGTACGTGTGTCTGGATTTATGTGAAATGACATTAATATTAGGTTCATGGGTTATTTAAGGATGTTCTGACACAACCCCAGCCGGAAAATCACATTTTATCTTCTCTGCCTCTCTCTCTCTCGTGTCTGCCAGCTCGCTCCGATCGTTATCACCACATCAATACGTACGACGAGGATGACACCAATGACGATGAGCCAGTGGAGATCAGACAGTTCTCATCCTGCTCTCCTCGCTTCAGCAAGGTCTGACTTTGCCTCTCACTTTTTTTAATCTCTGTCTCAGTCACTTTTACTTTTTTTTTCCTCACTCTGTCACATTTTGTCACACAGACATCGGACAGGATTAAATGAGTGAAGAGACAAGATTTTTAGATAAAAGTAGGTCATCCTGTACATAGTGTAGCATCTGGAGGTCGGACCAGGTCTCATGTCTGCTGCTAATAACTCTAATTGGACTCACTCCGCCATCATCACTGATGCTCTTTTCTCTTTCTATTTTAAGACAGTCAGGGTCTTCCACCTGCTATTTTTCTAATTCCTCACACTACATTTTTTGCTGTTCCTATCTACAGATGTGTTATGATCCAGACATCTTTTTAACTATATTTGTTTTCACATTCACACTTTCTGCTTGGCTCCTCCAATTCTGATCTGTGACTCCCTCTTCTGTCACACTTTCTCTCTCTGATGGGATTTTCTCACCTCATGCTGTCTTTTCATATCTCTTTGTCTAACTCGCTCTGCCTTCCCTCCATTTGCTCCGTCCACCCCTGCTTGGAAACAGAAAGTGCCTCAATGAAATCCCAATTTCAGTTAAATTTAAAATAACGTTACAGTTAGCGTTGCAAGGCTGTTTGGCAGATTTTTACAGGTATTGCACGTGAACAGAGACATCTGCCAAGCACCCTGAAACGACAAGATCTGTGGCAAATACACTTATGAATTTAATTCATTTTAATGTACTGCTGTAGAAATATCATTATTAATAATGATAATTTATTCATAAACTACTTTAATTATTAGTTAAGTGGCTTAGATAAGCAAAAGTCTGCTGGTTTGACTTTCTTTGGTGTGAAGACTGGGTACTTCTCTCTTACTTGTGTAGCCCTAAAGATAAATCTCTGACATTTGGACTGAGAGTGAGACAAACTTTGGTATTTTATTTGAAAGCTTTCTGACATTGTCCACACCAGACTATCAGCACGGGAACAAGGAACCTTACTCGGAGCATGCAGGAGGGAAAGCAGATTGTCAGATAAAGACTAAAAGGAAGACAGGAATGTTTATACACAAGGAAGTGATTACTGATTAGCAAGGTTTCCAAACTCAAAATAAGACAAAACCCAGACACTGTGACACCAAGCTATTAGATCATTATCCAAGAAATTCAAGAACAATTTAATTAGTATTGTAATGTCGTTCTGCAACCAACAAGGGCGTGAATGCAAAACTTAGACCAGCACACTTTTAAAGTAGGTTTGGTGATACTCATTAATCTTTCTTCTGCATGCTATAACAAAATATCATGTGTCACCTCATACATCAGTGTTGCTAGACCCCTTTTTTGGGACAAGTGCCCCAGTAAAATCTCAGGCTTCAATTTTAACAAGCACTTATATTTGGCAGGGGATTTGTCCAGAAGCCGAGGAGCATTTGCAGGTGTGTCCGGGCATGGAGGCTGCAGTGAGCAGCCAGTTATCCATGGCTCAGCATTCTGGCTGAAACAAGAATCGAAATGAATGTGGATCAACACAGTTAGGTCACTTAAATAAGGGTCTTAGTTAGGGGAAGTTTAAATAGCATGCTGTATGGCACAAGGTGGTCTTTGGACACCTCTCTCCAAACTTCCTCCTTACATACTGAAAACAGTTTGAATGTAATTTTTAATTCATCACACTGATTTTCAGTCCTCAGCCTTTTCTTCTTGTTTCCCTTCTCTAAAAATGGGCTTGTTGACAGACACTTTTCCACTGAGACCATTTTTGATGAGGCTTCAGCAAACAGTAGGTTGGATAACTGAAGAGCCAGATGCATCTCTCAGGTCCTGTGTCAGATCTTTGCTGGATTTTTTTCCAGTCGCAAAAATGCTATTTTATGCCTATCAAACTCTGCTAGCGCTGTCATTTTTCATATTCAACTAAAGAAATTATCAATTTTTACGACATACTGCTAGTATCAAAGTGCCTGAAGGTACAGCGTAAAATTGATTCTTTGCTAAGTTAAGTTGCCTGTTATTTGTAGACACAACACTGGTTGTTCCCTTGAATTAGGTGTCTTTTAATGTTTGAGTGATTTATAGAGTTAAGGGGATTCATAGAGTTAAATGAAAAAAAGTATCAGGTAGGACTGGACTGAGAGTGAATGACTGTAAATGAGTCTAAAGAAAAACTTTAGGGACCTTCAGAACGCCTGGAGAACTGTTGCTGATGATCACTTTAAAAATACAAGAAAATGTGACTCCTTTGAAGCAAAATTAGGGGTTTTAGATAGTGCTGTATTGTCTTGATCATCTTGAACCACTAACAGACAAAGATAAAACTAGATGATAGAACAGAAGAAACTGCTGCTAAATGACTGCGGTGCATTTAACAAATGAAGGAATGCATGAAGCTAAGAAATTGTTTGTAGCTGTTAACATTGTTTTTCCTGCTAAGCCGATAGCTCAGTCTTCAGCTGATACTTGTTTCCATGGTGCACTGCAGAATATTCTTCAGGCTTTCCTTAACACAGCTCAGTTCTTGTCCTCCCCCACACAGCTTAGCTTTCCTGTGTTACTCTGCACATAATAAAGGCCTTACAATTTAATTATGCACATGTCTTTGTGGTACGTTAATACTCACTTGCATGCAGAGAAAACATTCATGCTACTGGGAGTGTCTTTACAGTAGTGCAAAGCTTCTTAACCACTTAATTTGATAATAAACAAAAACCCAAAAATACTGTACTTAAATTCATAGATTAGTGATATTGTAATATTTCTACAATATCTTCTAAAAACGGGCAGCTGAGAGATCCACTTTGTGTTTTTTACCCTGGGTGGGCCTTCCTGACACAATGCTCCCAAAGATTTATGCCTCCTTCTACTCTCAAACATATGTTAGGCAAATGAGTTAACTGCATTTTACTTTTAGATGCACAGTGTTCCCACGATTAAAACCCCACTGATTATATAGCACAGTAACCATTTGCCATGATTACATAATGCACACAGACTTGCATCAAAGCAAACTGGTTAATAAATTCCAAATGGACATTTTCTCCAGTCTTGCTCACTCACATATCTGCAAAAGCCAAGGTGGAAATTTGTATTTTTGAATTGAAGCTGCCAATAGTGAAAATTACGACTGCCAGAATGTCCTAAAATTTAACAGCTCATAATGTTCTCCTTATCAGACTCTTAAAGTATTTTGGCCAGACTGTGACACATAATTTTCCACAGAAATTGCAAACCTGAGCTGTTAGAGGCTTCCTAAGGAGGCATATATGCATGTTTTAAAGGCTGAATCATCTAAAAGAGTAAAATCTTTTTTTTAATGGTCTGCACACATTTTGAGCTGGCAGACCACATTGAAAGCTAAAACCTGGACCGAGATACTCCATTAACAAGTCCTCCATCGATTTGGCATTTCAGACTCATGGCGGGCGGTTTTATCTCCTATAACTGAAATTGCAGCGCGACCACAGTTTGCTTGGGGATTCAGGTGTGTTATACAGCACTGGATGTAGCCTCAGGCAGTGATTGTGAGTGAGCTACAGACGTTTGGTGAATATCTGATTATTTTATTTGTTATACTGCTGGCTCTATCCTTTATGCAACTTTCATACATAAGCAGACCTGTAAAAATAAACTGAAGTGCAAAAGCTGGTGAAATTTAAGGAATCTGACATCTTCCCCTGTAGCTCAGGCAATGCAGCGGGTTGCCTTCTAATCAGAAGTATCGCTGGCTCCTCCTCTCCATGTGCTAAAATATTTTGGGGCGAGATACGGAAACTCAAGTTCTTACCAATCCATCGGTAAATGTTAGATAAAAGTGCGTATAGGTGCACTCGGTGGTTGGCCAAATGACACTTGTAGTCTAAAGCACAACGAGACAAAAGGTGTCAATGATAGTACCAGTCCATTTATTTGTGTATTTTATGCCAGGTTGCTACCAGAAACTATAGACTGAAAAGATTGAGTTTCCAGGTCAAATGGGGATGTGGCTCAAAGGAAACTGAAGTGGGATTGCATAGTTTTCTATAGGAAAGCTATGCAAACTATGCACTCGCCTAATCTATAACCTCATAAATACCTTCCTGAAGAGACTTCAGTCTTGACAATCATACTGAATACTGCATGCTACTAATTTTGTAAGTTATGTTACCAATTAGAGTAAAATAGATGATAAAGCAGTGTGCGTTTTAGGCTGGGCAGCTTTGTGAAGTTGCTGGTTTCAGGGAAAAAAAAATGACATCAAGCTTTGGTTGATGTCACAGACGTTTATCTACAGTCTATGCCAAAAACACTCTATCTCCACCTGAACTGAATAATAAAAACCATCATATCACCAGTAATTGTTGAAATAAAGGCATGTGTCTGAAACAAATTCACACAGAATGTATATCTGCAACTCCAACTCAAAAGCAACATTTCTCCTGAGCTATTAATCAAAGCCAACAGACCAAATGCTCATCGATCTGACTGTGTCCCGCTGCAGGTGTACAGCAGCATGGAGCATCTTTCTCAGCTGGAACAGAAAGCTACGTGCTCCGTGTCCCGTCGGGAACACAAGGGCCCACGGGAGGACAAGGTAACGAAGAGAGAGAGCATGGGCAGCTTCAGCATGAGGGACAAGAGCTGGAGGACTGGATCCCCTGAGATGTGAGTGGTGGGCAGCACTGAATAAGGTTCAGTTTATTGTAGGTATGACACAGTAAGGAGGGGTGTTCTTTACACCTAAGCAACGTATGAGGATGTTCATGAGGTGATTCCCTGAAGGTTTTTTCCTTTTGGCAGCCTCACTTATTTCAGTTTGTCTGGAGTTTTATTTCCGTCTCACTCACACCAGTTCTGACACTCGTTGTATAAAAAGATCTTTGTGTGAGGATTTGCACTCACTTTGAGACAAAAACAGCATCAGATCCACCCAGTCTGAAGGAGGAGAGCCGAGTTTGATTGGTGCCTCATATGTTTCTGTTCAACAGATTCATTAGTTTTATTCCATTTCATTAGTTTGAGTGCAAGTGGTTCAATGATACTTGTACCCTCGATTCTGAAGCTGTTTCAGTTCCTAACAGACACAGCTTATTAGCTCTTCGTCTGTTACAGGAAACGCCTGCCTCAATCTTAATATTGAAAACTAAAGACCTCTAATTAGCTTGCATCAATCATTTTAGTTTGTAGCTCGCATAAATGGAAAATTTACTCTCATTGTGAGATCTAATTCCTTCATACTGTGGTTTGCATACACAGGAAACAGATTTCCATTACTTCTCATGTCTCCATTTCACCTCAGGCTGTTTGTCGGGATTGAAATCACTCTGTATTCACACGTGAAAGGAAATAACTGATAGGTTCTGTCTCCATAATAGAAAATCAAGAGACTCATTATTTATTACCTTACATATTTTCTCCCCAGCCAAAACAAATGGACATTATCTGTATCATCTCTCTCTTCAGCCAAGTGTTTTTTCTTACAGCTCATTATTTAATTATGATTTAATTAGAAAAATAATAAAAATGCATGATCTGATTGTGTCCCGTCTTTCTCTGCTAAAAAAATCACTGGTGTTTAATTACTGCTAATTCAAATGCAAAGTGAAGTGATGTGGTTCATTAACTAGAAAGAAATGTTTTCCTTAGAAATTTTTAAAAAAGTATCGTCTCAGACTTTTTGTCATATTTCTTAAATTGTGAGTTTTTATTATTCCTAGTCTAGAATCATAGACATTCCAATCGGCTGAATTTTTGTAGAATGGTAATTACCGAAAGCAGGGAAGGAAAAGCAAAACACACCCACACAGGTTCTGTAGGGCTGTAATAGTCATTGCTGCACTGTTAGAGCAGACAGTCACTTGCGTGGTTGCAGAGAAATTTGTGCCATTACCTTCTCTGACTGCATCCTTCTCTTACAGGAAGCGCCTGTCCTGTTCAGAGTCCCTCTACACAGAAGGCGATGCGAGCCCTCCTCTTGGTGCCCGACGACGCTTCTCAGCTCTGATGGACACGCATCGTTTTGCCTCACCTCTAGAGGGCGAGTCCGAATTCCTGTCCCGCCAGAACTACATGAAGGTCCGTGGCACTTCGCTGGACGGGACTACTGTCCCCTCACCGAGCCTGCTGGAGCAAAGGAACAGTCTGAAGGAGATCAATGGGGCAGGTGTGTCAGCAGGCGGGAAAGCCTCAAAGATAGTGAAATGTTTGCAAGGAGAGAAAGTGACAGATTTTAGAGCAGATAGAGAAAGCAAAAGAGGTTTTGCCTATAAGATGGCTACTGTTGAGTCAGCTGAGTCATTTTTAACATTGTTATCAATTTGTGTGCTCACAGACAAATCTCCAAGGCCAGGAGAGACACCGGGCATTACCACAGCCATCACCACATTATCCCCAGGTCCTGCAGCAACCGGCCGGGATGTGATGACTCCTCTGTATGACCCTCTGGGGCCACGAGCAACAAATGACTTGGTCCTCCGGAGGGCACGCCATCAGCATTTGTCTGGTGAGGGAGAGAAGCGAAACTCCAGAGCAGGCAACAAGGTCATTAAATCAGCCTCTGCCACGGCCCTGTCTGTTATCATACCGTCAGGTAAGAAGGGCAAGGAAAGAGACAATGAAACATTTAATAATACTACTGATACGTCATACTTATTTCTCCTCTTTACCGTCTCCTTGCTTTTAGTGGAGCAGCATGGCGGCTTCTCCCCGCTGGCCAGTCCCATGTCGCCCCACTCTTTCTCCTCCAACCCTTCGTCACGCGACTCTTCACCCAGCAGAGACTTTTTCCCAGCAGTCAGTGTGCTGCGCTCCCCCATTACCATCCACCGCTCCGGAAAGAAATATGGCTTTACTCTCAGAGCCATCAGAGTCTACATTGGAGACAGTGATATCTACAGCGTACATCACATTGTTTGGGTAAGAAACTCTCAGACATGTATTAATGTTGTAGCTGAACTCCATAACCTCACGCAAAGAGGGATGGCCTGTGTTTTGATTTGTGAGTGTGCTTTTAGAAGTGGAGCTGCCATTAAATAGGAATCAATAATTTAAAAAAGGGGATTAAACTGAAGGGAAGCACTTAGAATGCAGAGCAGGATTAGGACGGCGGTAAAGCTGGACAATAGGGACATAACAAGATCACTGCTGTTGAACGTTAGAGCCACTTTTCTAATCTCACCATACACAAATATGCTACATAATCTGATCTGAAAATATTTGTCTTGTCTTGAGATTTACTAGTGAGAATCACAACGTGAGCATTTTGTTTACATGGAGGTGATTTTCCCCCTTCCGCGAACTTGAATATTTTTTGCATTTTGGCAGCATGTGGAGGACGGTGGCCCCGCCCAGGAAGCTGGCCTTTGTGCTGGTGACCTCATCACTCATGTCAACGGGGAGCCCGTCCACGGTCTGGTCCACACTGAAGTAGTGGAGCTCATCCTCAAGGTCAGCAGGCTTATTTATTCTCAGTTGTTCCACGCTGGCAATATAAATAACCAGCTTTCAATTTCAAGAGAAGGCTTTATGTAAATGGGCTTGTCAGTGCGGAAATTATTATTGCTCTTCTGTGCAGAGTGGCAACAAGGTGACGGTGACAACCACACCTTTTGAGAACACCTCCATTAAAGTGGGCCCTGCTCGTAAGGCCAGCTACAAGTGCAAGATGGCCCGGCGAAACAAGAGGACGATGGGCAAAGACAGCCAGGACAAGTAGGACAAGTAGCTGCTACACTGCACTTATACAACGACTCAGCTGAACTCTCGCCTCAATAACATATTTTTCATTATTATAGTGGCTATAGACCAAAGAAGAGTTAGCCTTACTAACTGAAGAGCTTTACGTGTTTTGCTTTATTGATTATAACAGTTTTGTGGCTGAGGTACACATTATACATTTAAAGCAGAACCTGATTTCTGTTTATTTTAATGTACTACAAAAAAAATATCTTTGGAGACTATAACAAGACTTCGAAGTCAGCTTTGACCTTAAGCAGTTACTATCTTGAATGCAGCAATGACAGGAAATTTGTCAAAACACTGTAGAGCAGCACATCGCCCTGAGTGGTTAGTTAAAAACAAAATGTCTGATATGATTAAAATAATAGAGAATTAATGCAAAATTGTGCAATGTTTTTGAGAAATGCTTAGCAACAGTTTAAAATACTCAGTGTACTGTATGAACTGTAGCTAGTACGCATTACTTGCAAACCCATCAGTACTGTGCTTTTAAACGAAGTTAATAAATACCGTAAATTACTGTCGGTTATTTTTGTTCCCAATTCAGACCTTCCTTCCTTCTTTAATTATTCTCTTCTCTATCCCGCAGTAAGAAGCGTAGCTCCTTGTTCCGCAAGATCACAAAACAGTCCAATCTCCTGCACACCAGCCGCAGCTTGTCCTCCCTGAATCGCTCTCTGTCCTCCAGTGAGAGTCTTCCCGGCTCCCCAACTCACAGCCTGTCTGCACGGTCTCCAACTCAGGGCTATCGCTCCACCCCTGAGCCCTCATACTTGGGTAGGACACTGAAAATAAACAGTGCACAAATTAATTTTACTTCCTTGGGGGTTTTGACAGCTTCACTCATCTTTTCTGCTCTCTGCAGGTGCGTCCTCTCAGAGCAGCTCTGCAGCATCCAGCACTCCAAACTCCCCGGCTCCCTCACAGCACATGAGACCCAGCTCCCTGCACGGCCTCTCCCCGAAACTCCATCGCCAGTATCGGTCTGCCCGTTGTAAGTCTGCCGGTAATATTCCACTGTCCCCGTTGGCTCACACGCCCTCCCCCACCCAGTCTTCACCTCCACCTTTACCAGGTCACACTGTAGGGAGCTCCAACACAACCCAGTCTTTCCCTGCCAAGCTCCACTCTTCCCCACCGGTGGTACGTCCCAGGCCCAAGAGTGCCGAGCCTCCGCGATCACCTCTCCTCAAACGCGTGCAGTCAGCAGAGAAGCTCGGCTCGCCTCTAACCCAGTCAAGCTCTACAGGAGGGCTGGGGGGTCCACTGAGGAAACACAGCCTTGAGGTGCAGCACTCTGAGTACCGCAAGGACGCCTTCCTCTGCGAGCTTGGGCTCCAGAGCCTGCTGGAGACAGAAGGGGAAAATTTGCCTCCTAATCCTCCCCCTCTACCCTCATCCTCAACTTCCCCAGAGACTGGTGTGCTGAAGCCAGCGAGGAGACTAGGGAGACAGGAGTCACCACTGAGCAGGGAAACACTACTGGCTGGAAGGGAGAGGGAAGAGAAAGAGAGAGGAGTGGAGAGGGAGAAGGAGGCTGGGACAGGATCGCAGTCATCCTTAGGAAGAAAACCTCATGCAAGTGAGCAGCCTTTGAACTCACAAAGCTCTGTACTAAGTGCAGGAACTACTAAAGCTATAACCCCTAGCACGCCTACCAAAACAACAGGGGGTTTAAGTGCTCACAAGGGGCCTGAGAAGTTCACCCAGAGTCAGGCGGACATGTCTCCAAAACAGCTAGACTCCAAGATAGCCAAAAGTCTGTTTTCTAACAGTAAACATCCACAGGAGCAGCAGCTAGGGGGCAGACCTGAATCAAAGCAGGAAGGAGACAACAAGAGCCGGTGTGGTCTTCCTGGAGCTGCCTACAGCAAAAGCTCTGTTTCTGCTCCAGATAAGTCCGCTGGCATCATCACAACAGTGACAGGAGGTCCTCTGAGCAAAACCTTTAAACCATCAGGAGTTGGAGACGCCCTGAGAAAGATGGGGACTGACAGCAGTGACACAAGGACACCAGACCTTGGCTCCAAAAGCCCCAAACTACCAGCTCGGGTCCTCCCTCCTGTCGTTCCCCCGCATGGGCAGGCGCTGTCACTGGCCAAAGTAAGGCAGGGACTCGGGGCTGTCAACTGCTACCGGGGATCACTCGACTGGGAGGACAAATGTCGTCTGGAGGTGGTGGAGGAGCACTCACCCTCTCCTTCTCCCTCCCCAACCGCGGTAACCCCCTCCCTCTGTGGACCTTCCCTCTGTAAGTCACGGCCTGTCTCCCCTGGTGACAAGACAAGCTTCGTCAGCCAGCTGACCACTGTGGCCAAAAACGTCCTCGGGCCGATCAAGCTCGGCTCTCAAGAGGGGGCCAAGAGCAAAGAGCAGCAGTCTAAAGCAGCAGAGGAAAAACAGGGAGGCACAGTGGGAAAGTCTGACTCTCCAGCTGGAGGTCGAGTGGTTGTTGGGGCTGCAGTGGTGACCCAGAGTCCTGCTGGTTCACCGCTAGAGAAGGCAACAGGTAGCAGCCTGCCGAAAATGTGACCTCATGGAGTCCCTAAATGGGACTTTAGTAAAAAGAAAAAAAAAGAAGATGCCTTTTTTGGACAATGCAACAGAAGACTAGCACTTAAAACCAATGTACATTCCAGTTTAAGAGTATAAAATGTTATTTATTGATTCCAATCACTGACTGAATCTAACCTAAAACCAGGAGTAAAAGATCTACTGTAAAGGTGCATTAACTGTTGATTTTCTATTATAAATACTTTAATAAGAGGACTCTAAATGTAACGTGAAACACTTTATCAGATGTATATGTGAGTCTGTGTGAATGCATGTCACATGGTTTGTACTGTACATGTGTAATAGGTACAAGATGGTCAAAAAGTGCTTTACAGATCAAAACATGCTGAATACTGTGAATACCAAATCCAGTCACTCTATTTTTTCTTTCAGCCAGCCCTTTTTTTGTTTTGGGTTTTTTTTTATTTTGTTTTTTTTTTTTACTGCTCGTCAACCAAAGCAGTGAAACAGTCAAATCAAAGTTGACACATCAAACAGTTACTGAGTAAGAAGATAATTGAGCTCTTTATTCATCATCCAGCAGTTTACTTTCCTGAGTTAAACGGTCAGACGAAGCCAAAGCAGGCACTCTGTCAGTGGACGTCACAGCGAGCACAGTCTCGCAATCTCTGTCGTAGGGGATTTTGTGTGTGTGCGTTTAGCTACCCTGGGACAATTTCTGGTGGTTCTTGAAGGCCACAGAGGAAAGCAAGAATGTCAGACCTCGGCGCTTATCTCTCCTTCGCAGGATGGGCTACCGCAGCCCTTTTCTTCACTCCATCTCTGGCTGCTGCCACATTCGCAAACACACACTCGCACATCGCCACAGGAAGCAGCCGTGTCAGCAGCTGATTTTCATGCATTTAAATCCATACGCCTGTGGTCACACGAATTAGGACACAAGTGTGTTTATGAGTGGATTAAGAAGCGTGTGACCATGTTTGTGTCTGTTCAAAGACTCGGCAGACTCAGCGAGGGTCATTGGCATGAAAATTCTCCTCAAAATGAGCAGTCAGGATCCAGTAACAGTTAAAGTATTATTTTATTTTTTAAGCAGGAAGGAAATCCTTCCCCAACAAATCAAACCGGCACAGTGAAGGTTGCTTGGGAGACTATAGCATGTTAAGGCATAGAAAAATGTATTATGCACATATGCAGTGAACCCCGTGTGTTGTTTTCAGTCAAATCTGAAAAAGCAGGCAGTCATGGATGTAGCATACTATAATCTACTTGTTAAAGGGCTCTATAGCAAAAGTAGGGTTTGTGCATACATGGAATATCACATCGAGCCCGTTCTCTTTAAACCAGGCTATCTACAGTGTAATCAGAATGACTTTGTATTTAGGTACTTACAAGTTAGCTTGTCCAGACTGATTAATATAATCCTCACATTTTGCTGTGCAACATACAGATAAAAGTGTTTGTCAGTGATCTCAGCAGGAATGCTGGGAAATGTTCACAGGAGACACACACACACAAAAACATGTTCCTCTCTCATTGGTCATAGTCACTTTCTTGTAATTCATGACTATCCAGTGTACATAATCTTATGCAAATCCATGTGTGAGAGTAGGTGGCTAAACAGATTAATCCAGATGTGATTGTTAATTGTCACTTTCTGCCAGTGATTTGGTTTTTTGTAGATATTCAAGGTTCTAAAAACGTAAAAGGGAAACTGATTCAGCCAACAACAGCATGTAAATCTGACACCAAGGCAGAAGTTCACGGACTAAAATGTACTTTTACCTCCAAACCTCAAACAAGTGGTTCAATCTGCACAACATATCTAGTGAAAGTTTGTCTCGGTCACTTCCGACTGGGTGTACAGTTTAACGAAGAGCAGCCGCTTGTTGCTTTACATTGTTGTATCTGCCTGGAAATCCGCAACAATGAGCTTAAGACTGCATAGATTTACAAACCAGGAGGCTGATCTCTGCTGTGTTGGCACTCTACAGTTTTTTCACATAACCATTCATGAATATGAAAACATATCCCATGCCTTACGTGCTTGGCAGGGATTTCTTTTCCCATTTGACACACTACTCTACTGCCCTCCAGTGGTTAGCATCAATATCAAATATTTGAAATATCATAATCTATTGGAGTGAGTGTTTCGTTGATGAAGTGCAGAGCACGGATTTGATGGTTGTTGTTAGCCATACGGTTACCAAATATGCATTTAAAGTTCTAATGACAAAATATTTGCAGTAACTATAAAATGAACACTTGAAACATGAATTATTAATTTTCCGTTGTGACTGTTAATTATATCTTTGTGAATAGTTAAGTTTTTAAATATACTGTCTTATATTCACAGCAAGGAGTTCTTTTATACCTTGATGTAATAAAGGAGTCATCAGGTCATCTCAAATCACCCGATTAAGAAAACAAACTCCTGCAGTTATTGTATCAAAATTCAGGCCTTTTGCTGATCAGTGGTGTCTATAATACATGTTTTAAAATGTCTTTTTCTTTCCGTGGTTGACAGAGAGAGTAGTAGAAATGCACTTTATTTGAAAGAAAAAAATCTTGAGTTGATGATATTGTTTGTAAGTTACTATCCTGTATACAATGTGGATTCTACAAATGAACACAAAAGTCTGATAAGTATAAAAACATTCCACATTTCTCTGTTCACTCGAAGTGTATTTAGTTGTACCACTGCGGCATTTTTGTTTGTGATAGGTGTGACCTAAATGCAGACACCTGAAGTGCAGTACGTGGAATAAAATTCAGTTTTTGTTCCAAACCTTGCAGGATCTCACTCTTTTTTGGCTTTAACCTCTAATCCCACAGCAGCATTTCTCACAGTAAGCACACCTCTGGCTACAGCGTGCAGGTAATTATTAATAAGTTCTTTACACCTGAAAAAAGATGTTCATGTCATCGTAGCTGTTACTAATAGGAGAGCTTGGTTGGGTGTTGTTAATTCTGACTTCAGTGTCCTACTTTATGAAAGGGTGTTACCAAGGGGCAAATATGAATCATTTTTAAAAAATAGACCTCCTTTTAGAGCATTTAGAGCCGTCAAAGACAGGTGTAGCTAATAACCTTTCACAGCTGCTGCAGCGCTATAATCTCTGGAATAAAGTCATAGTTAATGTTATTAGTTATCTCTGTGTTTCTCCAGCTGTGAAAAGGTTTATGAAGCTGATTCCTTTGCAAATGAAAAGGCCTCTGATCCTACCAAGACTATCAAGATTACAGTTAGCTGCATTTATTAACAAAATAAAATGGATTGGAATCTTCTGTCAACAAAACTGTCATTGACTAGTGGAGAAAACATTTACATCCTTTAAGTGTCTAAGGCCCGTCTGTTTTCTACTACTTTTGGAGTTGCAGGGAGGCTGGAGAATTTCCTAGCTGGTACAGAGCAAGAAAAAAGGCACACCTTGTACAAGCTGTGAGCCACTACAGAGACAGACAACCACACACTGACATCTGAGCCTACAGTCAGTTTGGAATCACCAGTTAACCTTAGGGACCAAGTCTAGGGCATGATGTATGTGTAACCTCCACACGTGAAGCCATGTTAAGACGGAACTAAACAAATACTTGCACTACTTGTGCATACTCGCACTGAATTCTTTTCTTAGAATAAGGATAAATTAAATCAAAATAGTGTGCTTGAACTAGGGCATCATGGTGGTACAGTGGTTAGTCCTGTTGCTTCACAATGAGAAAGCCCTGGGTCTGACTTAACCAGGCCAGGTGGGGCCTTTTCTGTGTAGAGATGCATGTTCTCTGTGGGTAGTCTGACTTTCTCTCATAGTCCAAAGACATGCATGTGAGGTTAAGTGGTCTACCGTTCTGTGATACAGTAAACTGGCAACCTGTCTGCAGTTTGCCCTATAACAGCTGTGCAGCTGTACAGGTGTAATAAATTATTACTTTCATAGCTAATTAATTAAGCAATGTTATAACCATCAGTCTAACCCCTGAAAATCAAATGCTTGGAGGTAATTTATTTTTACATGAAAATGTATCCATATGTATTTGAAGACATATGACAGGTCTGTTAATATATTACTCATTTAAAAGATGGTAGTGGTGTGTGCTATGATGTTTGGTTTGAAGACAGTGATGCTGACAAAAGACAGGAGGCAGAGAAGATTTTCATTAAGAGTTACTGATATGGACAAGATTAGAAATGAGTATGTCAGAGGGACAAATTAGGCTGCGGGGTTTCAAGAGAAAGTTAAAGAGGCAAGACTGAAATGGTTAGATGTACAGCAGAGGGTAAGTGAATATACTGGACAAACAATGTTGAATATTGAGCTTGAGAGCAGGAGAAAAAGACCACAGAAAAGATTGGATGCAGTGATTGAGGACATGCAGAGGATTGGTGTGACACAGGAGGATGACAGGCTAAAAATATATGTTATAAGTATATAGTATAAAGTTACTTACCCTTCTTTATCCTTAAAGCTTGAGTCTTCTACCAAAGCCCTGGGGGCTTGAGAGTCCTGCACAGTGCACTGCTCTGGACGGAGCTCTCGAATATCATTTATGGGATCTGCTGGAGCCACTTCCCCCTTTTGGCAGTCATCGGATTACCACAGTCACCACTGTTGCCTTCACCCTACACATCTTTTCTAGCTCCTCTCTTAGCCCATGGTATTTCTTGAGCTCCTGATGTTTCTTCTCCCTCATGTTGCTTTCACTTGGTACAGCTGCATCTTCCACTATGACTGTCTTCCTCTGCGTGTCCACCACTACTATGTCCAGTTGGTTAGCCATCACCAGTTTGTCTGTCTGTATTAAGAAGTCCCGCAGGGTTCCCTGCACAGGCTTATCATTCCATGATGGTTCCTCTTCTTTCTCACATAATCAGTTGTGACCATCATCCTGGTGTACTCATGGACCTTGCTGTTTCATCCTTGATGGTGGTTCTGACACTCATTAGTGCTCAGACTCATTCACTCAGGAGGTGGCTAATGTTTGCTCCCTTTTGTAGTCTGTATCCATATGTAGTCTTCTTAATGTTCTGGCTAAAAGGGGGTTCGGGCCTATGCCTATACAGCAGTGGGGACAGAGCATCTCCTTGGTAAATCCCACTCTTGATGGTGACTTTCCTAAAGAAGGCTCTTAAGGTCCTGTTGATCTTGTACAGTTCTAGGCACTCCAGGATCCATGCATGAGGGACTGATTCACAGGCTTTCTTGTAGTCAGTCCAGGCATAACACCTGGACTGTCTACAGTGCTCACCCTGGTCTTACAGCCTCAAGAAACTGCTCTATCTATCAGTAGCTGGCGTTTCTGCCAATTCCTTACTGGGTCCTGCTTGAGACTTTTTTTGTTGGATTTTGGATGTATGATGGTTATTCTGGTTGAAAGCTGCACAAAGGTAACTAATTACACCATAATTATTTACTAATATATAAACCAAAATTATATGTTACTTATTATTTTAACTTTTTTCAATTGTTGGCATGTTTGTACCTAAATTTATTATTTATGTTTAGTAACGCATACTTTTTAACCAGGTCACTCATTGCATAACTACAGGACTTATTATTAGCCAATGGCACCGTGCACTGCGCATTAGTGCAATATTATCCTATCAGATTTGCTACAGGATTTAATACAACCAATAGTGGTGCGCCGGAAAAGGACAACAGGAAGTAAATGTTGTCCGGTCAGGGGCTGTCACACGGAGCAGCATAGACGCTATGTAGTAGCTTATTTTCGTAACCGTGTAGATAAATGACTTTCTGTGTTAAATGGGAGGAAGTCTACCATTCGTACATTAACTGTATTTTATTATAAAAGCATTAAGCTCTTCGGGGATTCCGTCTTCAGTGCTAGAGAGCTAACGCCGGGGCTAGCTGCTGAAGTTAGCGTGTTCAGCCGGCTAGTCTCAGGCTGCCGCTGTACGCCAGGAGGGAGGAAATATCCGAAATGAGTGGCTCTATTACGGGGTACCGACCTGCTTAACCGACCTTTACATCAGGTATGTTGTTGCTGGCCTTTGATTCTTTAATAATGGTGAAAGACGCTTTTTAAATTAGGTATGCGCTATAGTGCTGGTGAGTCTTTGTGACCAGAGCAGTAAATGGGAATTGACAGTGAGGCTGCTGGTCAGAATCCGTTCATATACCCTGACACTGGTCGTGTCATGAGAGTGTTTCTATAATAGATTATGGTTAATAAACCGGTTGACTTACAGGTGATGAAAAATGGTAGCCACCATCATCATCAGATGACTTTTACAGACGTTGAAAAGCCCGACATACCGGTTGTCAAATGGTTATCACATGATGAGTGTTTTTTTTCTTCTCTACCATAGAAACGTTTCCATCAGCAGGATCAGTTAGTACTCATCGTAATACTCTCTGTTCCCTGTCGAAAGTGCTACTCATCAGTTTCAGGGCAGGGTGAAAAAGGTCTCTGGTACTTTCCTTAAGTGTTTTTCAAATTGTGAAATGGGCAGCTGTGGATGATTACTCGGATTTACTCTGACAGTTTGGGGTTTTTTAATGTTTCTTTGTGCTGTTTGCCCTTGATTCTGACTTACAGATGTTAAAAAACGAAGGATCTTACTTTGTTCTTGTTTTTTTTCTAGAGTTAAACATCCATAATGAAACAAGGAAACCTGTGAACTGCTCAGGTTCTTAGGCTGTTATCAGATCTCTCAAACGCAAGCATATTGTTTTCAGCAGAAAGTATGAGTGTGGATCATTGACAGACTGTATAATGCAAGAGGACTAAAAAGAAAATTGTGCATACACAAACATGTTTTTATTTTACTTAACCAGACAGACAACTCAGATTAAACATCTCTTTCGCAATAGTATCCTGGCAACAGTTCAATCAGTTATACAAGCTGATGATACAAATACACAAGGGAGGCTTCAAATGCACATGTGATTAAGAAGGTGCAAAAGCAAACAGCTTCCTCAGTAGTTATTAATAATGACCTTGCAGAGTTTTTAGAAAAATATAAATATCTAGGGGCACACATTAAAATGATATTCAAATACCAGTGACATTTACATAAAAGAATACAGCAATTATAGTAAATGTGGAAGTTGGACATAGAATGGGTCTTTTCGTTTCCAGCTCTCTGTCTTAGTCACTGCGGCTCAGGTGGCTCAGTGGGTCATCTGTCAGTCAGCAGGTTCCTTCACCGTTTGAGTCTACCTGCGGAAGTGTTCTTGGGCACTGAATCCAGAGTTGTACGTGCTACTTCAGTTTTATTGTGTGAATGTTAGAAAGTGATTAGCCATGGATAACAATCCTCCTTCTTATAAGAAGTATTATTTAATGAATGACTTTGATGTTTTCAGGGGAAATAAAATTTGTTGCAATTACATACCCGCATACATCAGCTAAAAATTTGACTTCTTCTTTTACCCTAATGGTTTATGTAATTAGTCATTTATCTGCCAAAGTGCAAACTCTGCCTCTTCTGTTGTTACCAATTCCGTTTTAACAATAGTGAAATTGGTTTGAGTTTGTTTGTTTGTTTTTAGCAACATGAAACATGAAAACAAGACAACACTCCCCACAACCACCAACACAGCTGGTCCTCCTATTACATCAAACAGAAAACACACAACCAGGTTTCAGGAGAAAAAAATGTTAGAGCATACAAACCAGAAACAGGTGCTCATCTCTGAAGGCAGTGTTGAAACTGAAAATGTGTACTTTAGTTAGAATCTGCTAAACAATGAAAAGTTTCTCTAAATTTACAGGCTAATAATCAATATATAAAAGGAAAATACCATAGAAAGTGATCAGTACAGGATTCGTGGAGCCTCTGAATCTTACTTTTTTTTAAAAATTGCTCTTTACATCAAGGCAGAATGTCAGCATAAACAAAACTATTGAGTGGAAATACACCAGGCACTACAGAGGATTATCACTATTCTTATACCGCCAGACTTCAAGACCTGTGGGTGGTACTTGACCAGAAGCAAAAGGCATCAGTAAATGTATATTTAGCATTCTGATTACAGAATGGAAACTTATTACTTATTACCATCACATGGATGACAAATGTCACGTCTATCCGTTGATAACTGGATATATGTGACAACGGCAATGTAGAAGATGAAAAACATTCAGCACTGAGAGATAAATATTTCAAGAGGCTTTTCAAACCTACAGTTTAATTTGATGAAACATAAAATCCACTCGTGTTTATAAACTATAAATAACAGGGAGATTTCAGACTTCTGTTAAACAAGATGGCAGGAAAAATCCAGTGTAACTGTGTATTCAAAGAAGAAAAGTCACTTTTAAAATGAGTTTAAATCCAAGTAAATATTTGAGTTAATAAGTATAAGAGTGGCAGGATGAGTGTAAAAGCGTTTTGAGTACAAGATGCATCAGTAGTTAATTTTTTACCTAGATTCTTGTGTTGTTCCTCTTTTTCGTTCATTCATCAGTTCTGTGTCGCAATGAGGAGCACAAGAGGTAAGCTCTGAGGTCTCGGAGCCATGAACTCAGTTTCCCCGAGTGCAGCACAATACGTAGGGGGAGTCATGCAAGATGAGCTGGTGGACAGGGGGAGGCAGCAGCAGCCGATGGAGCGGCAGGGCAGCTTTGGAGTCAGGCCTCCACAAACTCAAGGTGCCAGCAGAGAAGCCGCCGGGGAGCTTGACGAGATGGACAAACTCAAGGCCAAACTTATGTCAGCGTGGAATAATGTCAAATATGGTTTGTAGTCAGTTTTAAGTAATGAAGACTGAGTGTTGGATTTTTGTTTATATAGAGGAGTACTGAGATTTCTGCTTTGAGAATCTTTTTTGCGCCTCTGTCTGCAGGCTGGACTGTTAAGTCTAAAACCTCCTTCAACAAGATGTCTCCTGTGACTGTCCTGGGTCACTCCTATCTGCTTAACAGTGAAGGTAAGTGCTAAATGTATTCATGCATCTTAAAACTATTTCCTCTCTAGAGAAACGTAAAGAAGAATAGACCCCAGGTGTTGCAGTGATGTGTGCTGTGGCTAACCACACTGGTTAACCGTTTCCTATTTAAATGTTTATTTGACATGAGAAAGCTGAGCAGTAGGAACTAAAACAGACAAAACCTGCGCTTTTATTTCCAAAATATTATATGCAGGTATCATAACTGAGCTTTTTCATCATTTAAAATTAGTAATACAAACAGCTTAATGCTTGAACAAAGTGCTAGAGCTCTAAATATGTGTGTGTTTGTGTGTCTCTTGCTCCACCTCTCTATTTCACTCCCTCTCAGATGAGGTGGAGCGGTTCCGCCTAGCGTTTGTGTCCAGGATCTGGTTGACCTATAGGAGAGAGTTCCCTCAGCTGGAGGGCTCCACCTGGACAACAGACTGTGGTTGGGGCTGCATGCTGCGCAGTGGGCAGATGCTGCTGGCACAGGGGCTCCTGGTTCACTTGATGCCCAGAGGTAGGACTCTCCATCTGGTACACACATTTTTACATTTAAACATAAGAAGTGTTCATCCATTAAGAATATAAAATATCATAAAAATTAGGTTGCGGCACTGACCGAGATGTGTCCTCACATATAACTCAAAGCTAAAGATGGTCCTTGTCTCATTTCTGGTTTAGCCAAGAGAGATACCTGAGTAGAGGGTGCAGGAAGCTATGAATTCACCAGGGTATAACCTGTGCTAATCTCAGTGTGACATTTGTCATTCATTGACTTTGTACTCTGGAACTGGCCAGTTAAAGACCATTTAATTTACTATCCCAGTTCGTCGCCTGTCGCCCCTCGGTCAGTTACAGAAAAAGTTAGGTGTCCTCGGTTTCTCAGTCACATCAACCACCACTATGATAGCAAGGAGAAAACCCTCAGGTTTGGGATCTCGCCTACAGGTTCCCACATGGTAGCCATGTCCATCTTTTATATACAGTCTATGGTTGACTCAAAAACTGACAACCCATCCTTTCTCTAACTCCGTTCTTTTGTTTTATACACAGTTTTATACTGGGGGGTTTTTTCTGTGTGTATACTCATGTCTGTAACATCCTCTGATCGTTTAAAGTCTGAAGGAAAAAATAAAATAAAATAAATTTTGTTTCTGTTTTTCTAGACTGGGTTTGGCCAGAGTCTCAGCAGCTTACTGATGTGGACTTTGAGGTATTCCGTCCACGTTCCCCAGCCCGGGCTGGAGGGGTCCCAATACCCTCCTTTGGCTCTCCACGAGGTTCCAGCACCCCTGAGAAATCCCTGCCAAGCAGTCAGGCACCTAGATGCAGCCAGAAGAAAAAGGTCTACGAGTCCACAAAGGACAGGCAAGAGCACATCCACTCCAGGCTTGTTACCTGGTTTGGGGATCAGCCCCCAGCACCTTTTGGCGTTCACCAGCTGGTGGATATTGGCAAAGGTTCGGGGAAGAAGGCTGGTGACTGGTATGGCCCCTCTGTAGTGGCACACATACTGCGGTAAGGGCTCGTTTTTGCAAGCAAGGCTTTTCTGTGTTCTGAAATCATTTACACAGCAGTTAAGCATTTCCAGAATTATGGAATTATTTTCTTGTCCCTTTCAGGAAAGCAGTGGACAAAACATCTGTGGTCACAAACCTGGCTGTATATGTGGCTCAGGATTGTACAGGTAAGATTTATAGAGCAGATATTTGTTTAGCTTAATAATGAGAAAAGAGCAGATTGATATTTGCTTTGCACCAAGAGTGTAAATACACTCACCGGTCAGTGTTTTTGTACATCTAAAGTTAAAAGCATTTATCAGAATTGGGGATCAAACTTAAAATGTGGCATGGTTGTTTGCACCAGGCGGGCCGGTCTGAATATTCCAGCTGATCTATTGGGATTTCCCCACACAATCATCTCTGGGTTTTAGAGAACGATCCAAAGTAAAGAAAAATATCCAGTGAGCAGGAGTTATTTGGCCAAAAATGCTTTGTGGATACCAGAAATCAGAGGAGAGTGACCCGACTGCTTCAAACTGATTGGAAGGCAACAGAAACTCAGATAACCACTCATTACAATTTAAGTATTTAGAAGAGCCTCTATGAATGTAGAACACTTTGAACGTTGAAGCTAATGAGCTACAGCAGCAGAATATCATGCCAGGGCCACTCCTACCAGCTAAGAACAGGAAATTGAGGCTAGAAGTCACACAAGCTCAACAAAACAACAGAAGAATGGCTTGATGAGTCTTATTTTTTCCTGTATCATTTGGATCCTAGGGTTAGAGTCTAGCATAAACAACATAAAATCGATCCTGTCAGGTTGTCGTGTAATGGTGTGGGGGATAGTTTCTTAGTACCGACTGATACCTTAGGCTACGGATAGGCCGTATAGATTTGAAAACTGTGTTTTCGTCTGAAAACGCTCCGCCTCCACTGGCGTTTTCAGTCGTTTTCACAGAGTTGTGCGTCCACATTGAAACAACCCAAAACACTTACGTTCCAGTCCTGCGTCAAAACGGAGAGAAAACGATGCGTTTTCAAACAAAAACACATTAGTGTGGACGTAGCCTTAAATTTCACATGAACCAAGCACATTTGGGATGTGGTGGACCAGGAGATTTGCATTACAGATGTGCAGCTGTCAAATCTGCAGCAACTCTGTGATGCTGTCACATCAGTATGGACCAAAATCTCTGAATGTTTCCAGTGCTTAGTTCAATTTGTGCCGGAAATAATTAAGACAGTTCTGATTGCAAAAGGGAGTCTAAACCAGTACTAACTAGGTGTACCTAATAAAGTGTCTGCTCTCTACGTCATGCCTGTTTTAACCCTCACTGTTTCTGTGCCTTGTAGTGTACAAAGAAGATGTGGTGCATCTGTGTGATCGGTCACTGAATCAGACTTCTTCCGATCCGTCCAGTCAGGACTGGAAGTCTGTTATCATACTGGTCCCTGTCCGGCTGGGAGGGGAGGCCCTCAATCCATCCTACATCGATTGTGTCAAGGTCTGTTAACCATCCAGTGCCTGACCCCACTTCCTAAAGGATTTTAAGTGTCTAAACTCATATTAAAAATATTTGTGTTCATTCTCAGAACTTCCTGAAACTGGAATGCTGTATTGGAATAATCGGAGGCAAACCAAAACATTCGCTGTATTTCATTGGTTTCCAAGGTGAGGATTGCCAAAAACATACTCTGTACATTTTTTTTTTTTATCTTTTTGCATAAATCCAGCCGAAGCAAGGGCAGCTAGGGAAGAACTGACATTTTTTGCTGTTATGCTCCTCTGCAACCCGTATTATTCTTGCAGTGGCGATGCAGGAGCCACACATTCTCTCAGGTGTGGATAATGACGCGCTGCTTTGGTGCAGAACTGCTACTTCTGCTTATCACGCTCTGCATTACTCTTCACGACACTTTACTCTTAAACTTAGGATATCTAGAAGCATAAGTAAAATGTGCTTTTAAAAACTGTGGTGTCATTTGTCACTTTGTCGCTTATTAGCTGATTGCTAATGTGTTTAACTGCTACCTGACAATGGTTTAAAACCCTTAAGGCAAAAAAGCACATCCCAAATAAATCTTCACACTACAAATGGAAACTTCCTGTATGAACCATCACAAAGCCTCTCTGAAATTAAAAATATAAATTGTGCCTTTTGTATCAATGTCTAATATAATATTATACATATGTTTTGGTGGTTTGTTAAGGAAGTAGAGTTTGTAACTTGCAGCTTTGGGCTTCTGTGGTAGTTGTTACAAAGGTCAGCAGGAACAAGCTGTCTGAATTATAAAAAGTATGAGAGACTATTCATCATTTAACTATTTGATTTATTGTTTTATACTTGGATTCCTCTCTGTCTGGCAGATGAGCAGCTGCTGTATCTGGATCCTCACTACTGCCAGCCAGTGGTCGATGTCAGTCAAGTTAACTTCTCACTGGAGGTTTGCTGCCTTCTTCATTACTCTTCTCTTCTGTCTGTCTGGCTTTTATCTCCTTTTTTTTTTTTTTTTTTTTCCTGAGATCATATGACTTCAAACTCATTCACGGGTCATTGAAGATAACACGTCTGCTTAGTTGGCTCTGATCTGTTTATTGTATGACCCGTGTCTCCTTTTACCACTCTGCAGTCGTTCCACTGTAGCTCTCCTAAAAAGATGCCCTTCAACCGCATGGATCCGAGCTGCACCATCGGTTTCTACGCCAAGAACAAGAAGGACTTTGAGTCTCTATGTTCTGCTGTCAGTGAGGTGAGTTTTTACAACCTCCTCACATTTTTGTGGCTCTGATTTAATTTATACAACATACTAGAAATGAGCAGCATTTTTTTTCTTTCTTTCGTAGAGATAAATCTGTCCTGTTTCTGACAGTTAAATATGTTTGAGTTGGTTTGGAGGGGAAAAAAGCAATATTAAGCCATCACTTTCGGCTCCAGAAAGCTGAATAATCATCTTGCTGTTTTTATTTCTGCACAGATACAATTTCAATAGCTCAAGTTGCACAAATTTTTCAAGCAAAGATTTCAGATTTTATTTTTTCTGAGTTGAGGTCAAAACATGAGAATTGGCTGCTTTTCTTTGTAATGCCTAACAGTCAGTTGAATACGAGAGCAAATGTAGAAAGCGAGTGCTACACAATCGAAGCAGGTACTGTATGTAGATCTTCATATTCCATTCAAATAATATATGTGCCAAGGATGTAATTGGTTTGTTTGGGCTTTTGCATTAAAATGATTACATTTTTCACCATTGCTAGAGCTTGGCCCAGTCTTGAAGTGTTCTCAGTAATTCATGCATTAATTTTTAGAAGTATTATTTACCATTGTGGGAGAACAAAATTGGAATATTTTCCCAAAACAAATTTAAATATAATAAATTGGGAGATATCGTTATGATAGTTTGAAGAAGAAAAATGTCAAAAACTGATTTTTTTTTTCCTCTTTTTCTCTGCGTGCGATATATTCTGTTTTGTTTTTAAGATTATCTGCTTTAACTGGACTTTGTTGTCCTTCCAGGCTCTGTCATCGTCGAAGGAGAAGTATCCTGTCTTCACCTTTGTGGAGGGCCACAGTCAGGATTATGGACTTGAGGGTCACAGCAGCAATCACAGTGGACCTCCAGCTCATATCCTGCCTCCAGGGAGACTAGGCAGAAGCAACAACAGAAGAAGCAGTGAAGAGTTTGTCTTCCTGTAAAGCTCTGAGGACGATGCTCTCCCATCTGTAGGGGGCAGAAGTGGACACTCGATTGCCTTTAAAAGACTTTATTCTGTCGATGCTGCAGCTGCAAGGCGGGCACAACTCTTTTGTGCTTTGTCTTCCTCACTGGTCAACACGGCTGCTGTCATCACCTCTGTGTGGGTGGCGTTATAAGCTAACAGGCATTAGTGACTACTGGCTGGAGCACTGCTTTACCTGACGAAGGTGACTTCAAAATGGATAGAAACGTTTTCAAGTACTTGAAATGTTCTTGGTTCATTTTATCAGACGACGTCAAAAAAAGCCTCAGTGGTGTCTGCATCATCTTTAATTGGCTCACTCGTCTGCCTGATATTGTTCATGACTTGTATTATATCACATTCCCTCTGCTGAATATTTTTTTAAATTTTTATTCTTTAAATTAATTTATCAGATTTAAGAATGTGTGTTTTGTGTGCGAGTGAGTGTTTTGTTAGTGTAATTTATTTGTCTTTTAAATTGTGTTAAGGATTGTGCCGTGTCACATCCCAGAGAAATTTCAGATTCTTCCACGAGCGTCTTGAACAGCTGTAAATTCATTTTTAGACCTCGTGGTCTCAAGCCCATGCACTTTCAGCTCTGACTCTTTATTCATTAAGGATATGAAAATCTGCAAGAAATCTGCTGTTACATTGTTCCTGCTGCTTAAAGAACTAAAGGTCAGGTATAAAGAAAAACAATGCCTAAAGTTGGAGATGACTTTTGTATTTTTGCCTGTCAAACTGTGGCTTAAATCATTCCCGCTATACTATTATATAAACATGTTTGCAAAGTAAAACACCCAGCTCTTACTTATGTACGTGTTCTAGATTTTACCTTGCACAGCCAAGGTAATGAGACAAACCGAAGCTGAATGGAGATCTTTTTTTTTTTTTTTTAATTTATTTTGTTGTTTGCTTGATTTTCAGACTTCTGCTGCAGAGTCTCTGTGTTTTTGTTTGTCCCCTTTTTCTGTAAAAGCTACTACTGCAAGTTGCACTACTACTGTTATTGAGTTTATTGTCCTGATTAAACTTCAGACACTGGAATTACAGTACATGTTACTGCGTTTTTTGTGTAGATTTGAACTGCAGGTATATACGCTGTCAAAGGAACGAGAGCGATGGGAAATGATCAATTCAATGTTCTGTAGTTAGCAGGGTCAGAGCAAATACGCTTGTTGTAAAGTTTATGCAGCAGATGCTGAAGTAACATGTGGCATATAATTTCATTACTCACACCTTGTTAATACCACGTTGGAGCCCTCAACAAGGTGCTGGAAACATTCCTGAGATTGTTGTCCATATTGACATGATTGCATCACACAGTTAATGCAGATTTGTAGGTTTTGAATCTCTTGTTCCACCACATCTCAAAGATGTTGGACTTTGAAGGCGATATGAGTACAGTGACTTTATCATCAGTTCAACAACACCAAGGCAGGCTGTGACATTTAAATAATATATGATAAATATCCACCACATCATTACGCCACCATGACACCACTTATTGTATTTTAAATTGTGGGGGAAAACAAGCATGCAGTATGTATTTTATTTAAATTTATTTATTTTTTTGTGCTTTACAGAATCGAGACTAAATTAAAAAAACGGGACAAACACTGCATATTTAAAAGAAAGCACGCAATGAATGAAAAGTGCAAAACCTCACAATAAATTCTCAAAATTAAAAATGCCAAATGTGCACTGCAGAAAACGGTGTATTTTGGTTGTGTGTGTTGCTTTTGAAGGTTGCAGTTATTAAGTCGCGTGATTCTAATACCTGTGTTCACAGCCACCGTTCACGATTTCACTGTTGTGGGTGAAATCTAGCCACAGGTTATCTCGACATTTAATATTCCACGATTATTTTGGATTTTCAAACAAGAATTCAGGGTTGATGCACGCCGAGTACAGGTTTGCCGTCTCTGCGCACGCATGCGCGCTGCCGTGCGGCCGTGACTAGACATTCGGTCATAGGAGCTGTGGAGGGGGGCGCTCGAGCCACGTCGGTGAAAGAAATCAACGCTTGCAGGCAGATTACAAAGAGGGTGAGTAGGCTAATTGCGACAACTGCTGCATCTTCCTTCATCACCCGCAAATATCAGCTCGGGAGCGCAGAAATCCACCCAGGACTGCCAATCCTGTTGATGCGGGTAGGTCTGTCGCACAAGCACAGTCCGCCATTCCCCTTTTTTATATTTAACGAGGCACCCTTTCATGCCAGAGTGAAAAGATTCTCAGCAGCACGGGCTCTTGTGCATAATTTACTGTATTTCCCCGTCTTCAGCTCAAGTTCAGTGGTAGACCCGGCAGCTGTAATTGCATATGCGCGCAACGGGTGATTTGGTGCAGCGCAGCTGGCGAGCAGAGAGTCTACATCTGATAGGCTGGACAAAAATTCACCCCTATCCCGCAAAGACTGTGCACCCTCATCATTTATTAGAAATGCAGCTGAAGTCATATGCAGACTTTATTGCCATGATTTTTTAATTGTCCAAACCAAAACCTTATTACTTCCTTCTCAGATAAGTAATTGGTGCATATTTCATTGCCCTCTTACTGAAATTTGTCATTTCTCTTCCTTCTCTCAGGTCCCTCCTGCTCATCCAGGAGCAGGAGATCCCAGGCGATCATGTCAACACCTGATCCCCCCATGGGAGGCACCCCTCGCCCTGGTCCCTCCCCTGGTCCGGGTCCTTCTCCTGGGGCTATGCTTGGCCCCAGCCCCGGACCCTCCCCAGGCTCCTCTCACAGTATGATGGGCCCCAGCCCTGGTCCTCCCTCCTCTGGACACTCCCAGCCAGGGCCCTCTGGATATGGCCCGGACAGCATGCACCCTCTGCACAAAGTAAGGGCATTCAGGCAGCAGTCCCAGTGAGACGCTCTCAGCAGCTGCTCGTGTTGCCGTCCTTTAGGGAACCGCAGTTTGTCAGCAATTACTTTTTAAACCTCATTGCTACAGATTTACAGTGACTCTTAAACAGAAAGGATTTAAACATTAATTTCACTTGCTTAAGAATGAAGTGTAGATGATGCACATGTACAGCAAAGCATTCAAGCATTTTCATCTTCAGATTTCCATCTTCATTTAAATTTGATGTTTTCATCATGCTTAATTTTGCTCTTTGTAGTTATAAGATCTAAATATCAATATAATGTTAATAGACACACATATTATCTAATATTTATTCACTAAATAAATGATTAACTACTAGCTAAGCTTGAAGGAAAATGTATCAGAAATATTTAACCTAAGAAAACCATTGATTTGTTCCACTGATTACGGGTACGTGATTTATTTCAGTGTTTTTTTCTAAACATTATTATTCACTGAGAGTTGAAAACTTGATATGCACTAAGTAGCACCTGTACCTGTGAACAATCAATGCTCCTCTTCCATATTTGACCCAAAAATCGAACATGTTTGACTTGACATTGGTTAACTGCTCTTACTCTACATGTTTTTTTTTTTCATATAACTATGCTTCTGCTTACTTACGTTTTGCCTTTGGTATTTGCTTTTTAACTCAGTGAAACTTCTGCAAATCTTCTGCAATGGCGACTATTGTTCAAAACTGATAGTGTTTAACTTCAGCACTGTCTGATTCCTCCCACAGCCCATGGAGGGTTTGCACGAGAAAAGCTTGAGTGAGGAGAGCCGTTTAAGTCAGATGAAGGGACTGTCAGTGAGACAGGGCGGGCACAGTGGTATGGGCCCCCCACCCAGTCCTCTAGACCAACACTCACAAGGTAGGCATGTTACCTAAACCATTCTTAAGCAATTTGCTTAATTCCTACATTGCGTAAGACATGTGACGGCTTTTAAGCATGACTTAACGGCAGTGGTGTGACTATGTGTCCTGACTGGCTCAGAGGGGAGTGTCTCTGTTGTCACCAGCTGTAACATGAACCATGAAAACCGTTTCACTGTTTCATTATTGAAATACTGAATGATATACAACTGTCATGGCTCAGTCTGGCTCAGACAAAGACAGCCTGCTCTGTGCTGTAAGGATGGGATATAGACAGGCTTAACGTGGTGAATCACAGTTAACAATCTCCTGGAAATAATCATAACAATAATAATAATCCAGGATTTGATCAAATTTAGACAATAATTTATTGTTTGTTAGAGTTTGCCTCAGGTTTGGTACGATGATAAGTTTTGTGTTTTGTGCTTGGCTTGAAGACTGTAAGATTATTATCAAATTTTCCTTTGAGGACCCGTAGAGAGTGATTCTCTCTACCTGCCTGCCTTTTTCTCTGTGTATTCCAGGCTACCACTCTCCATTAGGTGGCTCTGATCACTCAAGTCCCATCCCTTCAAATGGTCCCCCCTCTGGGCCCCTTATGCCCTCATCATCTTCCTCCTCTTCCTCTGGTGGTCCTGGCTCTGCCTCTACACCATTAGATGGCTCCAGTGGAGATCAGCACATTTTGGGTCCTAATAACCGACCCGTCCCTCCAGGCAGTTCTGGACCAGGTCCAAGCCCTGGACCCAGTCTTGGCCCCAGTGTCCCTAGCCTTGGTCCTGGCCTTGATACCAGCGGCCCTGCGGGACCTGGAGGTCCTGGTGGTCCAACTCCCTTTAACCAGAACCAGCTTCACCAACTTAGAGCCCAGATCATGGCTTATAAGATGCTAGCCCGGGGACAGCCCCTCCCAGACCACCTTCAAATAGCTGTCCAAGGAAAGAGGCCGATGCCAGGGATGCAGCAGCCCATGCCTAGTCTGGCTCCCGGAGCTGGAGGAGGGCCAGGAGGTGGTCCAACAGGACCAGGGCCAGGGCCAATGGGCTCAGGCTACAGCCGAGGTCACGGTGAGCAAGCATGAGGAATGTCCGAAATAGCAGTACTGTTTCTTATAACCTGAGGGTGAATACATAGAAGACTAATTCACACCTCCACTTTAAGTCTTCCTCAGCGTTTCATAAATCTCCCACAGTATTGTTTCGAAAATTTTAACAAGGCCTTGTTATGGATATCATCCGTATTCAATCTGCATTCTTTGATTTCTTAGGAATGATGGGTCCAAATATGCCTCCCCCCGGCCCATCGGGAACCCCAGTTGGGATGCAGGGTCAAAATACTAATGGACCTCCCAAGTCATGGCCCGAAGGTACGTGGTGCTGGTATAAGACCTTGTGGAAACTGACTGTCTCTTCACTAGGAGCATCTTTGTTGAAACCTAGTTAGGCTGTTAGTGTAAAAACGGCTGACTAAGTGCTGATAGAAGAGATGAACTATGCTGTCGTACAGTGTTAGTTCTGCTGTAATTCCTAATTTTCCTTTAGACGTTCATCATTTTGTGTAGACCACAGTGACTTTTCCTCACTACACTTTCCTCCAGGCCCCATGGTGAACGCAGCAGCCCCCTCCAACGCTCCACAAAAACTCATCCCCCCTCAGCCCACTGGCCGGCCATCTCCTGCTCCCCCTTCAGTTCCGCCGGCTGCCTCCCCGGTGATGCCCCCGCAGACCCAGTCTCCCGGCCAGCCTGCGCAGCCTACTCCCATGATGCCTTACCATGCCAAACAGAACCGCATTACACCCATTCAGAAACCCTGTGGCCTCGACCCCGTGGAGATACTGCAGGAGAGGGAGTACAGGTAGCCAAGTCTTTTGGGGGATGCGCTATCCTCTGTCCCATTTATTTATCTGTTGAACAAAATAGTTAAATTGAGCTTTAGTTATCTGACTCTTAAGGGTTGTATATGTACCATAATCAGTACATATATTTAGAGATGGCAAACTTTACTTTGTGTTAAAACTTTTAAAGCATATAATATTTACCACAAGCTTTTTCTTGTATATTTTCTATCTTATGTTTATAATATAGTACAAAAAAATCAAAAGTACAAAACAATACATCATTTTTTTGCATCGACATTTGGGAAGCAAATCTTCTATCAAACCCAGTTTTGCTGTTTTTTTCCACACCAGAATTGAATCATTTCTTCCTTTTCCACTTGCCTTTCCACCAAATTCCCACAAATTTGGCTCGAGTCTTTCTATGTAATCTTTCTGACCAGGAGACAAACAGATGGCAGTGA